AAAAAAAAATAGTTATCAACTGGAATATCTATTTTTGTACAGGAAAAGCACACTTTACCCAAATGTATTTAAGGCCATGTTGCACTAAAGATGGAAAAAACAGGCAAATGTAAATCACACTGTCAGTTGATCATTACTGTTTGTATCCAATATGAAACTTTCACACTGTTAGTTACTTAGAAATGCCTTTGGCCCCATCATGTGGTCAGTGCTGATCACTGCATTAAATGCAAATCAAGCTTCGTCTTGTCTCGCACTGTTCTTTCCCTACACTAGCCAACATTACAGATTGCCACAGAGCAATTGATAATGATATAGTAATACAAATAAAGAAAATGTAAAAAAGAAAGTAAAACTTATATATTAAGTAAAATGCAGCATTATTCCTTTTATCTCTTATGCTTGCTTTTGTTGTAATAACCTTTATGGATAAACACACAAACACAGCATGAGGGGAACAGAATCTTTATTATACTTCAAAAGTGACACATGATGACAAATATTACTGAAAAATCTAAATGTCGGCCAACAGTCTCTTTTATACATGTCAACAAACATTCTTATCACTGCTGCATTTGTGTCACATAAAATGTTTTAATTTAAATGTTACTTAGTCAATTAGAGTTCTTTCCACAATGAAACAGGATAATGTGTAAATTCATTGCCAGCTGCCTTCATGTTTTTTGTATTGTTGCTTCATAAGAATGAGTGAGCATTTATTATTACGGATCATCTACTATGATTTGTAATAATGAACAAACAAGCCATTGTTATGCATGATACCGATTCTGTAGTTGCACACTGACCTCTGTGCAGCTACAGCAGTGTTGGTTTAGCAGCTCAGTGAAAACAGGATATAGTTTGTGGTTTCTAAGGTCACATTGTGAAGAGTAGCTATGATGCTTGAGGCACAGCTCACATTTTCTAAACAATACACAATGTAAGCAAAGCACCAACACTGCTGACCAGAGCCTTGTTTTAATCTCCAAGGGTATCTCATATGAACTGAATTTGATCATCTTAATTGCCCCTTGGGGATCAATAAAGTCTCTCTGACTCTGATGCTGACTCTGATACACATCCAAACATACACTATTAAGCAAAAATGTTAAACGCTATTAACAATAATACGAAACTATAAATGTGCAGATTAACTAATTGTAAATAAGTAATAATGTATGAGTAGAGGCAGCATGGTGGTGTGGTGGTTCGCACTGTTTCCTCCAAACAGGAAAGCCCTGAGACTGACTCCCTCATCTGGCTGTGGCCTTTTTGTGTTGAGTGATGTTTTCTTCATATGCAATTTTGGAGTAAAAAATGTTATCTTCAGCAACATCTAAAAGAAGTAACACCAGAAACATAAATGTGGTGTAGTCACATCATGTTAATAATGCATTAAAAGCTTGTAAAATCAGTCCAAGTGTTAAAGTATTGCAGAGTAGTTATTTAACAGAAATAATCGAATAAACATAATTTTCATAGTTTACCATATTACTTTCTGAAATGTTTAATATACTGTATATGTGCATACATAGTGATTTGACAAAGTTTTTGTTCATTTTCAGAATTCAAAGAGGCAAATAAAGACATGGGATAACATCACTTACCTTTCTTAACAGTAAAAAGTAAAGTGAGAAGTAGAGCGGCAACACTTGTTAGTACAACCACAATCACCACAGAAACTAGGAAAGTTGTTCCTAGGAAAACCAAATATTTATACTTTAAGAGCTGAGATCATGTAAATATGCTGGATGGTACATAAAGAGTTACAACAACTCACTGTACTAGATTTGTCCTTTCTTTTAATACAGCAGACTGTTAAATTTCTCAAACCTAGGGTGACCAACCGTCCTCTTTTCCCCCAGAAATGTCAGGGGCGTCTGGGGGGATTTTCGAGATTGATAAAAATGTCCGGGTTTTCCTGTGGTCCGACAGACGCCATCCCCGAACTGCTGCTTTGTGAGCGCTTGTTCTGCGCTCACAGATGAAGCTGACAGCACACAGCAACGTGCCTAATGATGTTTAAAAGATCCCAAGTGCATCTTTTCAGATGAACTGCAAAAGAAATTTCCCCGTACCCAGTACTGGTAATTTTCCTTATGCAGATGAGGCATTATTTCAGTACCATTATTTAATTCCAGAGGCTTTTAAATTATTTTTTGCACTTGTTGACTTGTAAAAGCTTGTTAAATATGTTTCTTTAAGAAAGTTCTTCATGACTGAGCCAAGTGTGCTCTTTTTTGGAAATCAAAATATGGTCACCCTACTCAAACCCAACCTGTCCATACAGGTAGAAGCAATAGATAAAAAAAAAAAAAAAAAAAAAACATAATAGAAATTTTATATTCCCATGAAATACAAACCTGTACAGTCTGTAAGGTGGATGATGGTTTGTTCCCTGCTGATGTTGTTTTGGACAATACACATAAACTGTCCCATCAGTTGACTATGTAAGCTGATGGTAACATTTGAAATGTTGTGGTTTTCTGCAATGCTGGGTTGGGTTTTTATCAACAAGTTATCATCCAAAAACAAGGTGAACTCTACTTCATCTCCTTCAGAGGAGCAGCTGACTGTCATCTGTTTTGGTGACAGACACATCTGAGATACAGCTGGCTCTGACACAGGAGCTGAAAGACAAATATAGTCAGCGGTGTAATTCGCAATATACAATTTACTGCCAGCGCTGCAAACTGTAATACCCATATACACCTAAATGAGTGAGAAAAAATAACCATCAATACTGCATGAAAGAATATATGTCAAGATCCATTATGAATATAATCCAGAAAGTTTGTTCATATAGGTCTCCACAAAATGTATTTAAAAAAAATGCAGATTTCAGATTTTGTAAAATCTTCAGACATTTTCCTCAAAAAAAAAAAGACAAAATAAATATAGTGTGTCTTTCAATTTTGAAGATATTTTCTTTCTTAACTTTTATTTCAATAAAGTACATTAAAGAATACTACCTGTACAGCTTGTAAGTTGGGTGATAGTTTGTTTTCTGCTGACATTATTTTGAGCAACACATGTCAGGTTTCCCATCAGCTGACCAGGTAAGTTGATGTTAACATTTGGAATGCTGTTTTTTTCTATACCATTGGCTGTAGGCTGTATCAACAACTTATCATCCAAAGACAAAATGAACTCTACTTCATCTCCTTCAGAGAAACAGCTGACTGTCATCTGTTTTGATGACAAACACATCTGCGTAACAGCTGGTTCTGACACAGGAGCTGAAAGACAAACATATGGACATAGTCACATATGGATGCAGTACAAATTGCAATATCAGATCCACTGCCAGGTCATCTCTTGCTATATAATCTTTATAAGTGTACACATGTGTTTGAAATGTGTGCACAAAAATCATCAATTTGACTCTCATATAATGTACAGCCACCAGCAATAATAATGATCAACATAATCTGTGAACTCTGTTTATATAGGTATCTGCAAAAATTGTCTAACAAACTGCAAGTTTTGAATTTTTGACACACACTGTTAACACCTTCATCCTTTTTCAAGATGAGGAAACTTCTTTTTCTTTTTTTTAATTTCTGGTTTTAGATCTGTAACACATTTTGTTTTTATGTTACTGCACATAAATTTGAAGAGAATATGTTTTTAGTCTTACCGAGTATATGTAGATGGATGTTAACTCTGTGCAATAACACACCTTCAGTAGAACTGTGTGTTTCCATGCTGTACTCTCCAGAGTCATTTTTTGTTGCTTTTTCGAGCTTCAATGTTCCATTTGTGGAGACTGTAGTACAATTCTTGTATTTTTAATTGAGACTAATTAATGTATCATAATGTATTATTAAGGTTAAAATGTTTTCTGTACTCTTTTTCAAGCTTGTCTTTATATGTGGATTAGTAGGTATGTAAAAAACGAGTGGTTCTCCTAAAACTCCAAAACACGTCTGGGCTCCAAATTCAGTTAGATTGCATTCTGAAGACCCTGGTAAGAAAATTAATAAATAAAGACATGGCATGCAAAAATATAAATTAATAATGTCATTTGTTTAATAAATAGAAATTGCTGTATATAAAACATTTGTGTTTATCATTATTGACAAAACTTTTATCCCTAAAAACACCAGACCACATATTAAATAGTAAGCTAAAATGACAAAAAATTCATTGTTCCATTGTTTACTAAAATAGTTTTATGAATGACTTCAAAATATGCGCTTAGTTTATTAAAAGGTTGATGTGTACTTTGTCTCACAGCAGTCACTGCCAAAGCTACTGTGATCACGTAGATCGAAATCATTTTCTGTTGAGACAGAATCAGAATATCAGAAACAACAAAGACATTTATTATTTCGTGTTGTGCATGTGTAGTGTACAGCCAAATTCAATTTTATCTAGAAATAGACACTTCAATAAACACTTCACTTGGATAATATAGATTATGTGTGTATGGATCATCTACATAGTAGATCAACAGGAGTTTATACATGCATATAGGCCAACTACATGGCATGACAACAGTCAAAGTCACTCACCACTTTTAAAATATGTCTCTTTTACAGTTTGTTGCCTGTGAATTCCTCACTGGCACCTGGGTGATACGCTCTTGTCTTTTTCCGTTGTGCAGCGAGAATGATGGAAGAAGTTATTTGCATTGAGTATTAATGAAGCTTATGCGTAATAAGGAAGATCTGTAACTATACATCTGTCTACTACCCGAGTGTTCACTGGCTAGTATTTGCTTTTCACCACTTCCACTTTGTCAAGCTATCAAGCTCATTGCTGACATCACTGATCTGTACCAATCATCTCTCTGCCCTCCATCTTTAAGCCAATCAGCCTCCAGTCTACATGTTTTAAATCTCACTCCATATTTGTCATTCTCCCTTCCAGACTCCTTTACTCAAAACACTTCCTCCCAATCTTCGCCTCTTTCACGTTACTCAGAGCTCTATCCAAGCTCCGAGGAGTCGTGCGTAATTCCTATGACACTGAGAATTCATTCATAATTGGCAATCAGAGTCAAATTGCCAATTGATTGAACTATGTTGATCAAAGAAATCATGTTGAATTCATTGTTAGAATCTCTCTTTACTTAACTAAAGTACTAGAAGTACTAGACTTATTGTGAATGCAATTACTGAGCTTTACATTGATTTCAATTGATATTTATGTTGATTTAACAATATGCTTTGGTATACCCTTTCTCTCATATTATTAAAAATGTTCATTCTTATTTTTTTGTGTACTTTTCATTTACATGTACCAGGACAAGGAGCCACAAGAACCTGAGCAATAAATGAGAACTGGATGTAAAAAATGCAGATAAACCACTTAATTCTTAATATCCGATTAGCCTGTAGTGCTCGCTATGAACAGCTGGTGATACATGCCAACATTTGTGTGTGTGTGTGTGTGTGTGTGTGTGTGTGTGTCACGTGCGGCTGGACCAGACAAATTGACACTAAGAGTCCTGAAAGCCTCCAGTTGGCAGAGTTTTTCAACTCTTCAACAGCAAGTACAACTAAATCATCCATTGTTATATCAGTTCCTCAAAAACGAAACACAATCACAACAAATTACTTCAGGGTTGCAGCGTTTACATCAGTTGCAATGAAGTGCCTGGAAATGGTGATACTCAGGTCCATAAAGGCTGCTCTGACCTTATACAGTTTGAACCAAACACCAAAACAGATCCGTGGATGAAGCAGTGGCCCTGGTGTGTAGCTCTGCATTGACACTATGAACATACTATGTGCACTTTCTTATTTATCATGTAAATGTGTAACTATCTATCACTATAGCTCCCTGTTATATTCTCAACTGTCCAGATACTCCTTTTCCAAGTTGTGTTAAGAATATTATTTTGAGGATTTTTTTATTTGTTTGTTTGTTCTTTTAAAACAAAGATATAGCACTAGATACTTATGTAAACCCCTAAAAATTGAATATCATATCATTTATCTCATCAAGTATGTCTGTCTGTGCCTGCCTGACACAAACTGCACTGAGTAGCAGATGTCTTAAAGTAGGCTTAACTTATTGTTGATGCCACGACTTGGTGCTATATACTAAAGAACAGCGTGGCAGACAGCCTTAACCTGTGCTCTTTATCTCAGGATTAATGTCAACCGTTTATTTTATGTTTTTAGTTTTTCTATATCCTGCAATGTACATTTATCACTATAGTCTGCATTACAAACATTTATGAAAAGAAGCAAAAGGAAGTATCAGTTAACATCCTGGTGTGAAAACCACATTAGTTTAAAGTCACAACTCTTTCCTTTTTCAGTTTCTCTGCTACAGACACACAAACATGTATGTTCCGAGGCAGACAGCACAAACCTGTGATCTTCACCTCAGGATTTATGTCAAGAGATAGAGAAAAGACTGTTCACACACATTTATGTATAAACATTTGAGGGACTAACATGTATATTTTAAGACACAAAGAAAGAATACACACACGGATATATTAGATAAAATAAATTCAAAAGCGATGTGATTACAGCACCTTAAAACTAGCTAAATGATCTGGTACAAAATTACTAAATTTCCCAGAGGAACCGACCCGATTCCTAACCCTGGACGTGTACAGATCAGGACTGGTGATCTCTCTACAGACCTGATTGTCTGTTGCAGTCTGGCCAGGGCCGTGTCAGGGCTTAACTGAACCAGACAATGACTAATGTGCACAGGACAGACTGGATGATGGCAGTGTAGAAGATGACCAACAGCTCTTGTGGCAGGTTGAACTTGCTGAAAGTACAAACTCTGCTGGGCCTAGGGTGTATATGAAGACCACTTGAAACTCAGTGAAAAGGTGGATCTGACAAGGTCTGTGTGCAGGGAGGCAGAAAAGGACCCAAAATACAGACTCAACACTGAGGCAAAACTCAACAAGAAACAAGAAAAACTAAACTTGAATATACAAAACAAACTTGGCAGGCACTGACAAACAGAAACATGGGGCTTAAATACACCGAGGTATAACGAGGAAAATGAGACACAGAAGGAAAGCACAGCTGGGAGTAATTAGACTGGATGAGACAAGGGAAGCAAAACTAGAAACACTGACATGAGACACGGACCTTCAAAGTAAAACAGGAAACACACTAATTGAACTCTAGACATGTAAACTTGATAGAGACCGGGGAGACAGAACACAGAGACCTGAAACGTGGGACAGAAAGGCAC